AAAGCACATTTCCATATTTGGACAGTACATATTCATTGTCTTAAATAACAAACCTCTTCCCAGTATATGTGTGTGTGTGTGTGGATAGGTAGATCATTAAGTGGTTATAAAGTGAGGGGAAGCTAATCCTGGGTGCATTAAGGGAGTTGGCTGTGAAATGGGCACACGCATGGTAGCAGCTAAAGAAAACAGGATAATTGCATTGACCCGGGTCTGCGCACGGATTATCAACGCGTCCTCACCATCTAGACTCCTCCCCCTCTCTCTGGGGTTTAGGGAAGGACCTCTCTGAAGAGGACGAAAGGAGTGGGCGGGAGAGAGATGATGAGAGGGGGAGAGAGGAAGAGAAGAAAGACAGGGGGAGGAGTAGGGAGAGAGAAGGCGAGGGAGGAGAGAAAGGAGAGAGGGAGGAGAGAAGGAGGAGAGAAAGAGGAGAGAGGGAGGAGAGAAGGAGGCGAGAGTGAGGAGAGAAGGAGGAGAGAGGGAGGAGAGAGGGAGGAGAGAGGAAGGAGAGAAGGAGAGAGAAGGAGGATGCGAGGGAGGAGAGAGGAGGAGAGAGGGAGGGAGAGAAGGAAGTTAGATGAGGGAGGCGAGAGGAGGAGAGGGGAGGAGAGAGGGAGGAGAAAGGGAGGAGAAAGGAAGGAGATATGAGAAGAAAGGCAGGAGGATAAAGAGGAGTGAGAGGGAGAGAGAGGAGAGAGGGAGGAGAGAGGGAGGAGAGAGGGAGGAGAGAAGGGAAAGATTGATGGGCAAGGCATTATTGTAGACGGGGGAGGGAGGAGGTGAGCGAGAGGATAGAGGAAGGAGGGAGAGTGGGGTGAGGTGGAGAAGGGATTGAGAGAGAGGGAGCGAAAAAGGGAGGAGGGAGAGAAGGGGTGCAGGTGGAGAGTGGATGAGAGAGAGGAGGAGGGAGAGTGAAGGTGAGGAGGGAAGAGTGAGGTTGGAGGTGGAGAGAGAAGGGATTGAGGAGATGGGGAGGAGAGAGGAAGGAGGGAGGTGAGGTGAGGGGGAGAGGGATTGAGAGGAGAGGAGGAAGGAAGGAGGAGGGAGAAGTGGGGTGAGGTGGAGGAAGGGATTGAGGGGAGGGAGGGAGGAGGGAGAGTGGGGTGAGGTGGAGAAGGGATAGAGAGAGTGGGAGGAGAGAGGAAGGAGGGAGAGTGGGGTGAGGTGGAGAAGGGATTGAGAGAGAGGGGGGGAAGGAAGGAGGAGGGAGAGTGGGGTGAGGTGGAGAAGGGATTGAGAGGGAGGGAGGGAGGAGGGAGAGTGGGTGAGGTGGAGAAGGGATTGGCAGAGGGAGGGAGAGGGAGGAGGTTAGCGTGGGGTGAGGGTGGAGAAGTGCGAAGAGAGGGAGGGAAGATGCGGGAGAGTGGGGTGAGGTGGAGAAGGGAATTGCGAGGGAGGGCGGGGGAGATTGGGGGGTGAGGTGGAGAAGGGATGAGAGAGAGGGAGGAGAGAGGGAGAGGGAGAGTTGGGTTGAGGTGGAGAAGGTTTGAGAGAGGAGAGGATGAGAGTGGAGGAGGGAGGAGGAGAGTGGGGGTGAGGTGGAGAAGGATTGAGAGAGAGGGAGGGAGGGAAGGAGGAGGGAGAGTGGGGTGAGGTGGAGAAGGGATTGAGAGAGAGGGAGGGAGGGAGGGAAGGAGGAGGGAGAGTGGGGTGAGGTGAGAAGGGATAGTAGAGAGGGGGAGGAAGGGCGGAGGGAGAGTGGGTGAGGTGGCGAAGGATGAGAGAGACGGGGGGAGAGAGAGGGGGGATCGGTTCGGGGTGAGTGGAGCGCAAGGGATTGAGAGAGAGGGAGAGGAGGGAAGCGTGGGGTTGAGGTGGAGAAAGGGATGGAAGAGAGAGGGAGGAGAGAGGGGGGAGGGAGAGTGGGGGGGTTGGTAGGTTGGAGAAGGATTGAGAGAGAGGGAGGGAGGGAGAAGTGGAGGACGGCAGACTGATATAGGCTTAATATTCGTTTACCTACTTAACACTAAATTGTCTTGAAGCCTGGGACACAAGATCTTAGGCCCAACGGACAAGTAAAGCAAACACACATACGCACACACGTTTTGGCCGAACCAGAGTAGGTTTACGGGGTTGGCATTACCCATGAAACGTTCTCTCAGCCTTGACTAAAGGTAACAGGAAGTCTCTTGTTGCTGGTGATGTATTTTGGCAGAGTTTGGCACTAGTCCAGCCAAACACTGGCATTTACCTATCAGTGGTATTTTGCCTGCCCCATTTTTTGAAAGGTTTCAGACAGTAGATAGTCCGGCTTGTCCGTAGCTGAATTGCTGTTTACCTGGCCAGAGCTGTTCTTTAGGTGTTGTGAGAGTACTGGTTAGGTGATGAGTCAGAGGTTAGTAATGGGGTGTGTCTGTCAGGGGAGTGCAGAGTATGTATATTGTGTGTGGGGTCTTGACCATGGGGTTTTTGCAGTGTGGGTTTAGTGGGCGTACAATTGGTAGGATTGTGTGTTTGAGGATGGGGTTTGGGGTTGTTTGTTTGTGTGTGTGTGTGCGCGCCTGTGTGTGTGCGGGGACACCATCCGGGCACGTTGGGTATATGGATGTCAGAGGGTAGGGATAAGAGGGAGAAGGGCAACTCCACTGTGGAGAGACGCGGAATTGAGGCAGTCACTTATGAGGGAATAATGCAGCCGAAACACTATCTCGAGAGGAGAGAGAGGAGAGAGAGGAGAGGGAGCGAGAGATGAGAGAGAGAGAGAAGAGAGAGAGAAGAGAGAGAAGAGAGAGAGAGAGGGAAAGAGAAAGAGAAAGAGAGAGAGAGAGAGAGAGAGAGAGAGGATAAAAGAAAAAAAAAGAGAGAGAAGAGAAGAGAGAGAGAGATAGAGAGAGAGAGAGAGAGAGGAGAGAGCGAGAGAGAGGAGATGAGAGAGAGAAAGGGAGAGAGAGGAGAGAGAGAGAGAGAAGAGGAAAGAGAAAAAAGAGAGAGAGAGAGAGAGAGAGCGAGAGAAAAGAGGGAGAGAAATAGAAAAGAAGAGAGAAAACAAAAGAGAGAGAGAGCAGAGGAGAGATCGTTCTCTCTCTCACCTCTCTCCCCTCTCTCTCCTCCCCCCTCTCCTCTCCTCTCTCTCTCTCTCTCTCTCTTCTCTCTCTCGCTCTCTTCTCTCTCTCTTTCTCACCCTCTCTCTCTGTCTGTGTGTCTATTTGTTTCTCTGTCTCTCTCTCCCCTCCTCCTTTTTAATAATGCATCTCCATAGACAGTAGCACTACCCCAGGCTGAGCTGTTTTAAGATGACTCCTCTGAGTGGATGTTTGAGTGGAATAGAAATGCTATCAGAGACATAGAGTTAAAGGAAAACTCCACCCAAAAACAATATTTTGGTATTTGTTTCATTAGTCCATTGTTGAAATAGTCCCAAAAATGTTTCGCATGTCAGCAATCAAGTTTTCAAGATATGTAACTTTCAAAATACAGAACTCTGGCACATATTATGCAAAACGCATCTGTATTTTGAAAGGTACATATCTTGAAAACTTGCTGACATGCAAAACATTTTGGGACTATATCAACAATGCACTAATGAAACAAATACCAAAATATCGTTTTTTATTCAACCGATAACCGATATTCAATAAATAGGATGAAAAAAGGGAATCTCATGCTAATCTGAACACTTGCGGCCATTCTCATGATGGGTCATTATTGTCACAATGTATGAAATCAACATTTGAAGAATAGTTGGGCAATTGCTCTTTTGGATGGCAATTACACATTTTCATTTCCCTGCTGTAAAACAGTATATCGGAAGATATATTGGTATCAGTAGTTTTTCTCCCCCAAAAAATCGGAATCGGTATCGGACCCCTATTGCAAACATCTGCTGTGAGCTTGATATCATTATCGAGGCCAGTGAGCGGCGAACTTACTTGTGTGTGTGTGTGTGTGTGTGTGTGTGTGTGTGTGTGTGTGTGTGTGTGTGGTGTCTGTGTGTGCGCGCGTGTGCGCGTCTGTAGCGTGCATTTGTTTTAATACACATGTCGTTATATTATAAAGGATAGATTTGTTAGGTTTTTGTTCGCTTTTCTACAGTATTCAGTGTAAGATCATTATGATTCAAATAGGGTATGTACTTGTATGACAACATTACAATTGTATTCCATATTCCATGGAATGTATTTATTTATTTATTTGATAGGCACAGTATTTAGATATATAAATCGAAATAAGTCGTACAATTCTGTTTTACAATTCAGTACCAAATAACACCATCTATTAGTTCATATGAATCCAGTGAGGTAATTGTTCTTAGGAAATATCTTATTTCTGTGTTAATTGCTCTCTCTTCCTGTTAGCATTATATTGTGGGCTGCACAGTTGCTGTTTGGCCTAATAAAAAAACAACTGGTGAGTTTTGAGGGGGTTTTCTGTCTGTGAAAAACCCACATTGTGACCTTTTGGGTTGGCTAGGGGGATTTTGGGAGATGGACAGCGTGACGTGTACACACACACCATGGTGGAAAAGTACCCAATTGTCATACTTGAGTAAAAGTAAAGATACCTTAACAGAGAATGACTCAAGTAAAAGTGAAAGTCACCTAGTAAAATACTACTTGAGTAAAAGTCTAAACGTATTTGGTTTCAAATATACTTAAGCATCAAAAGCTAAATGTAATTGCTAAATTATACATAAGTATAAAAAATGTAAAGTAAAAGTATAAATCATTTAAAATTCCTTATATTAAGCAAACCAGACAGCACCATTTAAAATTGTTTTAAATATTTACAGATATCCAGGGGCTATCTCAAACACCCAGACATCATTTACAAACTAAGCATGATCAGAGGCAGTAGGGGTAACCAGGGATTTTCTCTTGAGAAGTGTGTGAATTGGACCATTTTCCTGTCCTGTTAAGCATTCAAAATGTAACGTGTACTTTTGGGTGTCAGGGAAAATGTATGGAGTGAAAAGTACATTTTTTGGGGGAATTCAGTGAAGTAAAAGTAAAAGTT